CTTTATCTTACAAGACCTCGAAAAGGTCGCACTGATCGACATCGCGGATCATACGTCCGATATTAACGGGTTACATGGCCGAAGTATGAGTAGTACGACGTTGATATTTGGAGTATAAAAGTCAACTCCAAGACCCCTCTTTGAATGATGAGTTTGTGGCTGCTTGTACTTATCATCGGGCTCTCCAGCACCTTCAGCATCTATCATATTCTGATGCTACTTACAAAGATGGCCTTATCAGGGAGTCACTTTGGTGGCCAATGGGGCTCGTTCGCTGTCGCGGGAGATTCCTTCAACCTGTCCATGGCTGATCATGTCATCCGCACATGGGCAGACCTTGGTGAACTCGATGAGTTCTACAACATTGATATGGCCCCGCGCCGGTATCAAGCTCTGACGATATACCATAAGAGCGAGCAAGATCTTCTTGGCGAAATTGACTTTGAACATCTCCATCAGGAAGGCAAAGTGGACTATATCATGCTCAACACATACCATACACGACAACTCAACAATCTCGATCTTCAAAAGGCTTCGAAAGAGAAATATGATCCACTGCTCCCGTTTTCGGATGACCTTATTGGGATGCTCGAGGCGCGTCAGGATGTTGATCCAATGAAGGCCAAAGAAACGGCTAGTTTACTTAACAACATCACCAAATCTATCACCAAAGTACAAACGAAAGTGCAAGATGGCGGCTTTAATGTTACCAAAACAACGGGATATCTCGCGAGCAAAGCCATCACCAATCTCCTTGATCTTTTGGGGGAATGGTTCACATTTTACTCGACATATGATCCTCTTTTCGATTTCTGGGTTACAACACCCTGGCAGGCGGCAAATACTTCCCTGACCAGCTATCTTGACGTCGTTCAGACAAAGCTGGCTGGGATGAACCAAAAGGATGGGGAAGACGCCATTGTCGGGGAACCAATCGGGCGAAAAGGACTGGAAGTCGAGCTCGAGGCCGAGATGATTCCATATACACCCGAAGAACTCATCAAAATTGGCAACCAGGAATTTGCGTGGTGTGAAAAGGAAATGATCAAACAGTCTGAAGCTCTCGGCTACGGTAAAGAATGGAAGAAAGCACTTGAACATGTCAAAAATGACTATGTCGACCCCGGGAAGCAACCGGAATTCATCCGCAACTTGGTCGTTGAAGGAAGTCTCTTCGTCACGGAACGCGATCTCGTCACCATTCCTCCCTTAGCAAACTCAACATGGCGCATGACGATGATCAGTGCAGATCAACAGAAGGTATCACCATTCTTCCTCGGCGGTCCAGTTATTCAAGTTTCCTACCCCGTTTCATCAATGGAACATGATCTTAAACTCATGGTCATGCGTGGTAATAATAAGCACTTCGCTCATGCAACAGCTTTCCATGAAATGTTCCCCGGTCATAGACTACAGCTCTACATGGCAGATCGATATAACTCACACAGAAAAGAAATCTTCGATACACCTTTTTTCGTGGAAGGTTGGGCATTATACTGGGAGTTTTTATTCTATGCACGAGATGATTTCCACAAGTCGCCTGAGAATAGGATCGGTGCACTTTGGTGGCGTATGCATCGCTGTTTGAGAATTATTTTCTCGCTGAAATTTCACTTGGGAGAGATGACGGCTCAAGAGGCTGTTGATTTGCTCGTCAACAGGATCAACCATGAGAGGAGCACGGCTGAAGGTGAGGTCAGACGATCTGTTGAGGGGACTTATTCCCCGCTTTATCAGGCTGGGTATATGCTTGGTGCGCTTCAGCTTTGGAAATTGAGGGAGATGGCTGTTGATAGTGGGAAGATGACGCAGAAGGAGTACCATGATGCTATTTTGAAGACTGGTGGGCTGCCGATTGAGATGGTCAAGGCGTTGATTTTGAATGACGAGCTTACGAATGATTTCAAGGCGGGATGGAAGTTCTATGATTTCGATTAATTATTAGTCTAGCTAATTATTCAGTATCTATATCTTTTTGTGCAACATTGAAGCCACGTCTGGGCTTATAACCGCCACAGAGAACTTGGTCTAGCACCTAGTCTTTACCTTCCAACCAACCTTCAAAACTCTCGCAAGCACCAACGACACTGCACAGAGTGTACTCGAAAGCGCAGCCCAGATATGCGCCCCGGTAAGACTCCGATCCTGCAGCAAACCACCAATAGGCGGTCCCGACAAACCCGCAAAAGAGACGAGACTGAAACACATGCCCATCCTCGTGCCGATGGTATCAAGCCTCTTCGTGATACTGGCGACTCCAGTGGGCATGAGACTTTGGAAAGCGCCAGATGCAATGCCGTAGAAAACGGAGAAGACGTAAACGCCTGCAACGTCGTGGACTGCGACCCATGTGTATGCGACTATGGCGACGCAGAGAGCTGCTGGGGCGATGGTGTTCAATGGGCCGATTCTGTCGGCCAGGACGGGGATTAGGACTCGGGTTGGGAGACCGACGGCGTTGATTATGGTGGTGAGGAGCGAAGAATCAGCGAAGGACATTCCGACTTCTTGTTGGCCAAACGAAGCAAGCTTCACGATTGTCAGTAAGACTATAAAAATGAGGGTTATGGGGATACGCACGTAGTAGAAAGTGTAATACACCGACCAGACAAAGAAGAACAAACCGCCCACATAAGATACATAAAGGGTATCTTTGAACGCACTCCAATCGATAATAGGCCCAGTCTGTCGCGGCGGAAGTCTTGGCCTCATGAAAATAGCCACGAGTATAAATCCAGCCAGATTAATGAACCCCAGCACCCTTGACGTCCAGGGCATACCGATACTAGGAAGAAGCGCTCGAACAACAAGAGGGTAAACAGTACCACCGAGAGAGTTACCCGTAGTCACAAGTCCAATAGCAATACCTCTCCTTTTCTCGAAATATGTCGCCACCAACGCCAACGACGGCGCAAAGATAATACCCCCACCAATACCAGTGACAACGCCCTGCGTGATCATAAGATGCCAGTAAGAAGTCGACAAGCTCATCATGAAAATCCCAATGAGCTGCAGTCCCGCACCGACGAGGAACGTGGGTATCCAAAAGCCAGCATCGAGCAATCTTCCGGAGAACGCACTCCCAAAGAAGGTGAACCATACTTGAATCGAGCCGATCCAGGAGATTTGGAAGGGTGATTGGGGGAGCGTGGAGGTATAGTGTGCTTGGAAACTTCCAAAGGAGTTGACGTATCCCCAAGTTGCGAAGATGACGATCCAGCCCATGGCTACTTGTGTCCATGCTTCGATGCCGCCGTCTGGCGGAGGCGGGATGTCGCCGGGTCGGAAAGATGCACCGGCTGAGGCGATGATTTCCAGATCTTGCATCTCCGACCTCGTCGGTTCGCGACGCAGCGTATTGATTGGTTTACTTTCCCAATTAGCATTTTTTTACCATAGAGGGTATCACGAACACACAACATGGTTTCACCATTAGTCTCATCAATTTGTGGTGTTTTTTCAGCCATTTTCATTGAATTTTGACAAATAATTCTCAAACAGCAATTTCACGGTGAGGAACTGCGGTATCGCAATCTTAAGTAGCTTGTCACAGTCATGTTACGGTCAGAAAATCTAACGTGAAAGAAAAGTCCCGATACCGCTCCAGAATAAAAACCGGGAATAACATGATAAATTATGGATCTAGTGTGAAAATTCTCGTGATAGCCTGCCCATCTCGGTAGGTGATCAACCGACCCGAAGGCCGATAAGCGGATAAGGGAGATAACCTGGCAATTGCGAATGGGGAGTCGTTCATTAAGTCGGCAAATTCAGTCAACGAATGGGTAGTGGGCTCCTTATCTAGTTTATGTAAATCATGGGTCTTGGCATAAATACTAGCACAAAGTTCCCCGCGGGGGTTGATGATATGATGATAGCTTCGAGGGCGACAAGTCTGTCTCGATTGGGATGGTCGGAACCGGCCGCTTGGGAGTTGACTACTGAAAACAGAGTTTGAATAGCACCGAGACATTTTCGCTTTGACAAGTAAACTAAATACCGAGCCATGACTTCATTAGATACCGAACAATTTAGCCGTCGGTAATTATGCGAAATTCTCATCCCTCCCCAGACCTTTCCCCAGACAGCTCTAGTTCCCACGTTTTCTCTTGGGGATGGATGAAGATACCCGCGGCATGTCACTCGGGGGAAAGCTCCCGGGATCGCGATCCCTTCCCGACGATATATATTCGGCAAAGGCGATCCCTTCAACTGGTCATCAAGGTTCGCAAATTCCATTGCGAGTTTAGTCTGACGGTGCGGCTGAGATATTGTGGCTGGCTGCAAGCCTGGTTCCCATTTCCCGGTAAACTTGTTGAGCCATTGACGCATCTCACAGTGAGAGGTCTTTATCCTTCGCCTATTTCTTTTGCATGTAAGAAAAGGAGGACCCTTGGTTTGGCTTGGGTTCTAGAATCTAGTCCTGTTCCTTGGAGGGCGCTGTGGCGTCTATCAAAGCTTGTTTTATGAGCCTCCCTTGCGTTACCACTCTCGTGGGAGAACTTCAATATCTCAAATCAGTTGATGATCAGTAACCAGACTGTCGGTAACATGCCCCAAAATAGATAATAAAATACAAATATTAGCACGGTAAATGTCATTACTCGCGTCCTGGCTTTCAGCGGTGACATTTGTCACTTCCCCGTACCCCACCTACCCTACTTCTCCAATTCAAATCCCCAAAGTCCGTCACTTTTCGGCGTGGCCCGGAATTGCCGCTAGTTCTGTCCAGACCCTGATCTAGAAGCTCCGACAATGCACCAATCAATAGCGTCGCGCATGGAACTTTAACACCGACCGATGTGCTATGGTAAGGTATGCGTAATCCCCAGCACGCAAGCGCGTATCTCACATACCAGGCTCTCGTAAACACATCATAACCAACCTTCTACCTCCCCAGAAAACGCTGAGTATAAGAGATTAACGGTCCTCCCCAAAACAGGCAAGATACCGAGAGAGAGAGGGTCCCTGTTTCCCAACTAGTTTTTCCTGGCTTCCAGATGTCGCTTGCTAAGAGGAACAACGGTGCGTGCTGACAACTCCACTCTGATTGATATAGGGCTGACAAGTTGCGTTCTAGGCTGTTACGAGTGCTGCAAGAGACGTCTTAGGTGTGACAAGACAGAGCCCGAATGTCTCAAGTGTCAGAAGAAAGGCATTTCCTGCTCCGGGCAGGGTCTGCGGTGTAGGTACAGCAGTCATATGGCTGTTGACTCCGTACCTGGAGCTGGGAAGCCTTTGACTTTGACTTTCATCTCGTCATCGACGCCGGCGGAAACTCAGTCTGGGAAGAGTTTGAGATGGGTTGATTCTGCGCAGAGGGTGAGAAAGGAGAGGGCGAGGAAGACCAAAGGACGGGCTGCTTCTGATAGTCCGACGTCGTCGAACCCTCCCGACTCGGCGTCTTCTGATGATGCTACGTCGCCGTCGTCGGATGACTCGGCTTCTGAATTTGGTGGTGTTGTTATGCCGTATCGATATGGTGTTACGATCCATCCTGCGCTGAATGAAGCCTCGAATGCCCAGACAAGGAGGTTGTTCAGTCATTGTAAGTTCCAGCTCCTCTTTAGAGTCACCACGCTAACGCACGAAGTTTCTGAGATCATCGCCGGACACATGGTGGTTCTAGACTCATTCTCCTTCAGCAACGGATACCGAGACGTCATCCTACCGCTCGCTCAACAAGATGAGAACCTCGCACAAGCTGTATCAGTCGTCTCGGCGTTTCACCTAGGACAACGGGATCCACGATTACAACGTATCGCTGAAGCAGGTCACCAGGCTATTGTCCAGAAGCTACGGCGAGATTCACTTCAACTTAGTCCCGAACAGCTCTTCAACCCATATATCCTTGCGACAATCTTGGTACTTTTGGTTGGTGAAACGATCACTGGCGCCGACAACTACAGATACCTCCTGGAGATGCTCAACTGCCTCACACAATATCCGGACTGGATATCAATGCTACCGCCAAGCCTGAAGGACTTTTTCCTTCAGCAGATCAAGATGTAAGTTCTTTTTTTAATTCTTGTCTGAAGCATTCACTGACTGCTCTTAGGTTCCAACTCTTCGGCGTCCCCCTAGCCAACGAATCGAAAGGCCTCCAAGTCCTGACCGGCCCAGAAGCTTACCTCGACTTCATGGCCTACCCCGAACTCCCCCCACATTCCGAGCACTTCACCAACATGGAGACGATCCGCTCCGCCATCTTCGACGCATGCAGCATCTACCGGCGCCGCGCAGAATCCTCCCTCACCGACGACGAGTCCATCCATCTCGTCGAGCAACTACGTCTCAAAGTCCTCAATCTCGACAGTACCACGAAAGGAGCACACGCCCTTGTGTGGACGTACTTTATCGCTGCAGCGGAGAGTATCCTTCCGGAGCATAGGAAGTTCTTTGCGGGGAGGTTGGCGGATTTGTATAGTATTACGAATTTTGGAAGTATTCCTGTTGCGGTCAAGGCGTTGGGGACGATTTGGAGTTTGCAGGGGACGAGGAGGTGGACGGAGATTGTTAGTAGTGAGACACCGATTCTTATTATGTAAATTAAGGGATAGTTATGATGAATGATAAAAGGGTTATAGGTAAAGGCGTTAATGGAGGATAGATGGAAAATTGATTTACTGTTATGATTAAGGTTCTTTATCAGCATGATCGCCAGACTGTGTCTTGATCCAGACAATGGAAATGTTTAGGTAAGTTCGCATAAGTTTGAGGTGCTCTTCATTGAATCTTGATCATATCTAGAATTGCTCGACGTTCAGTCTTGATGGGCTCTTTGCCACAATACCGTAGGTAGCTATGTAGACAGTGAATATTCGGTTTTATTAGATTAATGTGAGGGTACTAGCTTAGCTCCTGACTTGAACCAGGGAAATCTATAAGGAGACAAATCTTGCTTTACTGTGGCGCCCTACTGCTCCAGCTTTCTGACATATGCCACAGGGCCTTCATATCGGTGGGTTCCACGGAATAAATAATATCCCACAGAGAACACCGCGACAGCCCCATAAATGAGAATACTCCAGTTCATCTCCGATGGGGACGGGTTGGGGTTTCCAGGCATGAAAGCCAGGACAAAAATGATGACGAGGAAAGCCTCCGAGGCGATGTTGACAGCAAGACCCCATCTTCCAAGACTGAACTTGGACTTGAGGAGAGGACTGTTTGTGGATCGTCGCCAGATCATGCAGCCGATGGATACGATGTAACTTGAGAGAAGGGATGTTGTTGCGAGTGAAGTAATCGAGTTGAGGGCGACTGCTGAGCCAATATTGATAAGAGACAGGAGACTCGAGATCAAGAAAGTTGTCAGGATTGCGTTGATAGGGACATCCCAACCTGTAGGGACCTTGGAGAACCAGGGGCTGAATGGAACAGCGTGATCTCGCGCGAAAGCAAAGAGTTGGCGTGACGAGGTAGCTACCATGGTAAGGTTGGAGAAACCAGTCATGATGACGAGGAAAGACGCCATCGCAGTAGCACTACTCGTCGACTGAGTTGAGTTCAAGAAGACCTGCATGAAAGGATATCCTGTAGGCGACCCAATGACCTCCTCAAGGTTACCGATGCAGAAGCAATATGTGATAACCATGATCCAGCCAAACGCACCATTGAAAACAGTGGTTGAGATCATAGCCTTTGGAAGAGTACGGCTCGCATCACGGAGTTCCTCCGACATATGCACAGCAGCATCTGCACCCAGCAACGGCAACACACCCGCCAGAATACCAACGAGCGTTGAACCGCCGATACTTCCCCAGCCTCCGCCATCAGTGAACTCGGTAAACACAGCTGTCGCATCAGCGCGCGGCGAGAGAACCCAGAGCGTAACCAGGATTCCGAAGAAGGCAAAGATGTGGATGACAAGAACTGTCGCTTCAATCAACGGTAGCTTTCTAGCGAGGAGCGTGTTGAACACAACGGAGAATGCAGCTACCGCGATGGTAAGTAGTGTTCCGTGCCATGGCTTGGGAACGTATTCGGGGTAGTTGAGCACCACGAGGCCTTGGATTTGTGTCCCGGCGATGAAGGCTGATGAAGCGCATGATGTCTGCCAGCCGAGGACACACATCCAACCCATGAGGTAGCTAATGAGTTTTTGGTACTTTGGGGGTGCGAATTCGGAGACCCAGTGGTATTGACCTCCTGTTGTAGGAGCCCTGTAGATCCGTCAGTGGTTGGTAGTGTAATAACGGCGGTGGAGGTACAGACATTGAAGCCATTTCGGCCATGGAGGTGTTGACGAGGAGGAAGCCCATCCAACAGACGAAGAACATCCAGATGAGACCTGCTGTACCGCCATTGACGAGACCGATCGTTGAGACACTGCCAAGGTCAGTTTTGTTACATCATCTTAGCTTTGGGGTAACGGACCTGAGGGAGAACTCCCAAGATGCCATAAGGATCATGGAGAAGCCAAAGATGGACAGAAAACGAAAGTTTCTCTGCCGTATTTGTTAGTTTAATACAGGTATCAGAGCGAGATTTTCGACGAACCGTCATCTCTTGAGTTTTTCCCATGCGGTACATATCAGCGCGATCCGCCGCGTTACCCTTCTTCTCGTCGACATGTCCGCTGGACTCATTGATGCCATACGCGGCATCTTGCACGTCGACTGATCGTTTATCGCCTTCAGCAGACATTTTTGGCGTGCTCTGACTCAAAGAGGAACTGGTTGTCTAAAGAAGAAAATAAAATAAATCGAGGAACAAAAGAAGAAGAAGACGAACCTGCAGATTTCTTCGGTAATAGAAATGCAGGAGTGCGGCATGCAACACTCTTTAGGACGTTACACCCGCCAACAGTTCCTCTCATGGTGCTCGCCCAACAAACCCCTGTAGAGTGTATGTAGACCCTGGCCAGGCTTGTTACATCCTAGCTAGGCCCTGACTAATTGGTGATCCCCCCTCCCGTGCCGAAGTCCGGAAGATCTTCCGCTGTTGTTTAGCTGCACTCAATTCAAACGACGACATGTTTTGTTTTGTCAAAGTCATGTCATAGTCATAGCCATTGCAGCAGTTACGAGACTCGCATTCTTGGTGTCAGTCGAGTTTTGCTTTTTAGTTTGTCTTTAGGCGAAGGTCGGAGTCGTTCGACAGATGGAGTCAGTCAGGAACATGGTGGAGCTCATGCGGCACAAAGGACCAACAGTCTTGGCGGATACAGGCATTGATTTCAGCCAAAATGAAGTTTTCTTCACCAGAAGAACTGATCATGTTGGTAAACGCTCCCTTCGAGAAGAATGGAAGGAGTTCTATTCAGAATCAGCCACATAAACTCAAACCAACAGACGTTAAGTGCCGATCTCCTCGTGGCAGTAGGTGACAGACATTGCGTGAGTAATATATCGTCGTCTCGGTTAAACCAATCATCACATCTCACGAATTGCTTCCTCTGTTGGTTCATCCATGCTGTGGCTTGCATGATCCAATCTACCAACCAGGCCCCCCCATGTGAAGCCGTCACCAATGAATACGTAACAAATATCTGCAGCGGAAATTCTTTCGTTAGCGAGGTGACTTGCTGTGCCGTTGGTTCGAGCCATGCATCCCAACATGAACCCAAAAGTCCGGGAGGCCGAAGAGGATTCAAGTCATGCAAGCCTTAATAATTCTGCAGAACCTGCCGTGATGTAATGAACGAATTCTTCCCTTTTCTTCCTTCTCCATTGTCGCAACATGGATCCGAATGATGGTCTATATCGGTTTTCTCCTGTTACATTCAACGATCATGCGGGCAAGTTATGGATCGTGACGATCTTGTCGCTGATCTACACCTCGCTTATTGCGCTGGCAAGGGCTTATATCAAGTACAAGATGTTTGGGTTCGACGACGTTTTGTTTACTGCTGCGACGGTGAGGAATTCCTGTAATTGGGGCTGCTTTGATGAGTTGCTGACTTTGTAGGTTTTGCATTTGGCGCAGGCGATTGCTGTTTTTATTGGGTTGAGTAATGGGCTGGGCAAGTTTAACTCGATCACGACGACGGAACAATGGGGGATCTCTTCAAAAGTGAGTTTCGACCTCTGCTGTTGTTATCTCGTGCTGACAGATTTGCTGGTAGTGCACAATTGCTTCCGTCATTCTCTGCCTTTTAGCTCTTAGTCTCGCGAAATGTTCGGTTCTCGCCCTTATACATCGCATCATCAGCTCCAAGCCGGGAAAGAACAAGATGGTCTGCGTGGCGCTCATGGTGTTCACTGGGCTATGGGGTATTGGCTCAAGTTTGGCGTGGCTTGTGAACTGTCGCGCTGGAACTTTGTTGACTGTGAATAACGTCAAACAATGCCCAGATCAGGTATGGGGACACTTCCATTCATCTCAAGCAATTGCAAATGTCTAATAACTCCTGGTAGAGCGCACGCTGGGGCGTCATCACAGCGATCGACATCCTGACCGAAATCCTCACCTGGCTCCTCGTTCTTCACCTCTCGTGGTCCGTCAACATCTCCTTCGCCCGAAAATGCCAAGTCGTCACAGCATTCTCCTTCCGAATCCCACTCATCGCCATATCCTCCGTCCATCTCGCATACTCCCAAACATACCCATCCTCTCTCGAACCTCAATTCGCCGTTACAAACACCCTCATCTGCCAACAAGTCATGATCGCATGGTCTCTCATCTCCGCGACAATGCCCAACCTGAAGAACTTTCTCAAGTCATTCTCCATAGGCATGGGCTTTCCGGTGGCATTCGACTTTACAATGTCGGGTTCAAGCAAGGCTTATGCACTGCAATCACTACGGAACAATCGCTCTACGAATGCGGCTTCGGCAACGGCTACAACCCATAGTGCAAATTGGAGACCTGATCAGGTGTCGAACCAGACTACAGCGGCACATAGATCGAGTAGGAGTAATAGCCGCGATGTGTCGGAGGAGGGATCAATTTCAAGAGCTGGGAGTCAAGAGTTGATTATTAATAAGGAGGTCGCGTGGAATGTCACGTACGAGGACCATCAAGATGTATTTACTAAGCGATAGACCAAACCAAAACATTCAACCACGTGCCTTTTGATGCAGACAAAAGTCCTCGGGGTTTTGAGTCAGTGATGCCCTGAGACATGCAGTGCGAGTGGAGCTTCACATGCAAGTACAAGGGCTCTATCCATGTCATGTCACGCCAGGTTCGCGGAACCCTTCCAGCATATGAAAAAACCCTCGAAGGATCTAGAGACAAGGATTGAAGCGGGCTAATCGGATCATGTCAGAAAACCCCCCAACCAACATCAGTTCCAGACCGTTTCAGAAGACTGTCCCAGAAATACAAGACTCCTGGCTCTTGCAAACTTGGTACAATCATTTCTCAACTGACTCGCAATGTCTGAGATTACGTTACGCGATGCATATTACTCGGAACTTCCGGAGATCGCTAATGTCATGTCAAAGGCCTTTTGGGGGGATAACCTTTTTGGCGATCTGATCCACCCGCATCGGAACGAGTACCCTGATGATGTAGACCTGTACTGGCTGCGACGTGCACGGGTCAATTTCTGGGATTATCGATGGAAATGGCTTGTGGCTGTTGCTAAGAATGAGAGTGGTAAAGAGATCATTGCTGGTATTGCGCAGTGGGCGAGGCTTGGAGAGGGAGGCAAACGATTTGATCTGAGCTTTTACGATCCTCGTGAGTTCCTGCTCCTCTCTAATTGGTTATTATAAATTATAATTAACACAGTTTCAGGCAACGTGCTGAAACCGCTGTCGTCCGTCGCCATGAAGATTCACGCCTGGGCCATACCAAGTCGTGCAGTTGACCCCAAACAAGAAGACGTCATCGAAAGAGCATATCCTCACTTCGACTCAATATGGAGCGGCAAACGTGCCGAGTCTTGGTATCTCGAAGCACTAGCCGTCCATCCAGACTTTCAAGGGAAGAACGTCGGTCGGCAGCTTGTGCAATGGGGTCTAGACCAGGCTGAAGCTGAAGGAGTCTGCGCTTCGGTCGTGAGCGCCTTGGGCAAAGATGATTTCTACAGGAAGTGCGGGTTTGACGAGCAGTTTGGAACTGCGAAGGATGGCGAAGGGAATCCCTTGGCTGACGTTGAGGGGTCTAATATCTTTTGGAGGTGGCCTAAAAGTAAAGAGTGATACTTTTGTGGTTTCTTCGAGGAATGGCATACCCGAGAATTAATCGATGAGTAATTACTTAGACTGGACTATGGTTACAGTCTATTTAGATATTTGGTCACAATTATATTCCTCTTTTTCCCTAAATAAAACCCATTGGTTGTTAATAGCCAATGCTAGTTTCTAAGGAGGCTGTTGAAACCAGGAAATGGGGATAGGTAGCCACCAACGCATCAAGCTCAAGGCCATGGAGTTATTAGATGCGGCCAAGCTTAGACATGTCTTGAGGATCTTCAGTTGCCCAAGCTTGTTTGGATCCCGATGGGGATAACTGCCGCCTATAAGGTTAAGCTTTAGGCTGCGAACACAGATAATGAATAACAGCACGATATTCTCCCCCCCCCTGATATAAGCTCTTACCCATAAGCTTTCACGATAACCAATAACTCTTATTGCAAGCCTTAGAGCATTGCAAAGGGAAGAGACCAAGCTTGTTTGGATAAAGTCAGCGCTTTCCTCTCCGGCGCTACAGTTGGAGTAGCTCTAATTGTGAAGGGCTAATATTTGGTCCAAATTTCTTCCGCATAGCATCATACTCTGAATTGTGGATTTCGGGCAATGCCTTGTTTAGCCCATACACTTTGACCAAGCTATCTTCTTATCGTCTTGAGCTAATTCGGTGTAAAGTGAGCTAATTGATATTTAATTCTCCATTTCTAGGCAACCAACCTGTTAGCGGTGGATTTTTGCCTCGATAGTGGATACCTCGAGTATAAGAAGGCTTTTTCGCCCAAGCATTATTTCTCATCCTTAAGTCCAGACATTTTGAATTCCCTGTCAGCCATGAACTCTCGGGTTTCGTTCCTACATCTGCCCCGGGAGGTCCGGGATATGATCTACAGCCATGCCCTCGAAGGCGTAGAGTCCAGCAACGCTTTTACAACTCAAACCGCCTATTCTCCGCAAAATCTTCCTCTTCTTTACGTACACCGTCTCATATCACAAGACCTCCAACATCAGCTCTACAGGCACCACGACATTGTCATACCTATTCAAGAACCCAGCTCTTATACAACTGGGAGCTGGAGTATCGTCCCTAGAATTGCCTGTTCAAAGATGATGAAGCAACGCTCCAAGACTCTCGTCATCGAAATGTCGCAGACGACTATCTCGTATTATCCAGATTCCGATCTTGAAGAGGATGAAGATGAAGATCCCATGGAGGACGAGTCCTTCTGGGCACCCGAAGGTCGAGGTGGGCAGATGTTCCCGCAAAAGCTCATCAACGACATTCTCGCTCTTAAACCAAGTCTCCCATCCGTCACGACTCTCAAGCTTGTGTTTTGGTTCGGATACTGGATATCATACGTTGAGCATTGGGAGGAGCACCTCAAGAAGCTCAAGGACAAATGGCCCGAAGTAGTCTTGAACGTTCAGCTCAACCTATTTGATTTCGCGGACCCTGACGCTGGTGATACGGGATGGAACTTTATCGAGGGTTGGTATTGGTGGTCGTTGAAGATGGAGGGGGTATGGTTTGAGGCGAATAATTTTGCGTGGAAGGATCATATGAAGGGGGATTTTCGAGGTCGCAACATCAATGTGTCCATCTGGCAGGATGCTCTTGACTACGATTGTGATGAGTTTGATGAGCTTCTTCATCCTACTGGCTGTGAGGTACGGCCTATGTTTGTTAGGACATGTGATCTTGATGGTCGTGTGAAGCCTTACAAGTAGTCGAAATGGGTGTATACTGCATTTCCGCAATTATTGATGACTACAGTCTAAACATCGCTGCGCTCTAGTGATCTTCCTTCCACATCTATGCGAGATTATACTCAGCAATGAGCTTCTCAGCAGCTGTGATACCAGTCACGTAAGCAACAGACTGGATATGACAGCTCGCCAGAACAGGAACGACACCCATATCCGCAATACGAAGACCCTCAAAGCCTATGACCTTGAAGTCACTATCAACAACAGCATCAGGGTCTCCCTTCTTACCCATCTTGGTAGTACCAGTCATATGCCAACTCGAAGAAATAGTACTCTTCCAATGCTCCAAAAGCTCTTCATCCGAATCACCCTTCGGTTCTGCAAGTATGGTAACATTGTCTTTAGCATAGCCATCATACTTCACGAGCCTAAAAGCATCGCGCAGTGACTCAATAGCCACACGACGATCAAACGGCGAGGCCAAGAACTTGGGATCAAACTTGAGAGGAGCGTTGGGGTCAGATGACTGGAGCGTAACTTCTCCTTGGCTCTGCGCATTGTAGTAAAACACCAGAATGCAAGAGTAGTTAAGCGCCGAGTCGGGAAATTCAGGGATGAACCAGTGAATAGGAAAGTGCGTAAGAATCTCATAATGCGGCACAGTTTCCTTCATAAGAAACTCCTGCTCCTCCGCCGGCAGGGCCTTGAACTCCTCTGACTTGACGAGGTTATCAAGCTTGAACCAGCCAATGCCTAACTCGCAGGCATATTTCGTCCAAGGGCCGGTACCATCGCGACGCCATTGCTCGAGAGCGTCATCCATGGCTTTTTTGTCGCCGTAGAATGTGTCGCGCGTGGTGTCGCCTGGTTTGCGGGTGTAGACTAGAGGAGTGAACATATGGTCGCGCAGACCCTGGCCTACGCGGGGGACGTCCTTAACAACGGGAATGTTGAATTTGTCGAGTTGGGCTTTGGGACCGATGCCGGAGTGCATCAGGATCTTGGGGGTGTTGAGGGCTCCGGCTGAGAGGATGACTTCTTTGGAGGCGAGGTCTGTGATGGTCAGTTTATGTACTAATAATTCCAAGGTATCCAGACCCTGAAGATGATAAGGAGGACTCACATTTCTTGCCATCGACTTCAACGCCAATGGCTTTGTTCCCCTCCAAAAGAACCTTCTGAACAGTCGAGTCCGTCAAAACAGTAAGGTTCTCAGGCTTAGGCTCCAAGAGATCATTCGCGGTTGATCTCCTTCCTTTACTGCTCGAATTGATCAAAACCGACATTCCCAACGGATTTCCAGAGTTGTGATCCGGATTTAGTGGAAACCCGGCTTTCTCAAAAAGGTCCAGCACAGGAGGGAGATCCTTCTCCCACTCGCCGGCATACCCAACATGAAGCTTCCCCTCAGAACCATGGTCTTCCGCTTTAGGCGCAGCATACTTCTTATCAACGCCGTCAGGAAGCTCCCCATGAAAAGTCTCTAGGCTCTTATACCGGTCATGGATCTTATCCCAGCGATACGCATCATCGTCTACTATGCGCGCCCACTCCTCATAATCATCTCTTGCACCAATACTATACACACCAAAGTTGATGGCGCTCGAACCACCGAGTCCCTTACCGCGAGAGTAATCCAGCTCACGGTTGTTAGCAAACTCTTGGGGCGCGGTCTTGTAGCCCCAGTTCATGTCCTGGTTTAGAAAAGTGGTCCAGCGCTGCCCGTCGACGCGCAGGTTGCGGTCTTGGTTTGTGCCGCCGGCCTCGAGCAGAAGAACGGAGGGTTTCTTGGCGGTGCGGGAGAGGTTGGCTGCTAGGGCGCTGCCGGCTGGGCCGCCTGCGGGACGAAGGTTTGTTAGAATGACGGTTTATTGTTCTAGTGGTGTTGATCCATGTGTGCTCAGGCATTGGGCTAGAGGTGAAGGAGGGGGGAGATTGAGTCAGGTTGCTTGGACGTACCTCCTACGACGATAAAGTCGAATGATGAACCCATATTGACCAATTGGATAATGGGTATAGTAGAGAATCAAGTTATAGTCTCTGACTCGTTGGTTATAGTGTCAATTGATAAGATGAGATGATTTTGGAATAAGAAGCAATAAAAAGGAATGAGGGGAAAGGGGTCTTCTGAGAGTATATATGATCTACAGCGCCGCTCCTCACCCGTTGGTTTAGTCCAACCTAGCTCCATAGACTAACTTAGGCTAGGGCTTCTAGTGCAACGGTGTCTCATACTGTACAAGGTCCCCGATGACACAATGAAACGAAACCGGTATCAAACACGAGGATACGTATGTACTGTACTCGAACCAACACGTCGTTACATGCCAAGATTCTAGACCCTGTCAGTGGGGGTTTACAGTAGTTTTGGAGCGTGGCTTCAACCTTCTGACAGGCTTTGCTCACCTCGCCGCTTATGGTGAGAAGTATATCAAATATGCAATTTACGCCCTACAAGCCACAGTCTGGCACCAGAAATATTTGTCAATGATCAAGTCTGACTGTCCTTATCATGTCTTGCAAAATAGTTCCACTTTCGAACAGGGTCTCACATAAGACTAGTCACGGGAATAGCAATGATTTCATGATCTACAGACGCACAAGTCAGGTCGAAAAGATTAACCACCTGAACAATTAATTACTCGCGCCGCGGTCGATCCCCGTTCACGTAATGTCTCCGCCTGTCAACTAATGGGCCACTTCTGCCAGCTCCTTGCCATTGCATGATTAGCACCGGTAGATCAATGCCGGATACGATATATTGCTCCGTATAGCGAACCTGGCACGCCATGTTTGTTATATGTGCGATCTGCAGGGGCTGCGGAGCCGCACGGTTCAGCGAGCTATGCCTGGATTAATGGCCTTAACAATGTAACTTTAATGTCATAGCAGACTTGGCGGATGCAGCTTTTTCGGCACTGCTGCCGTCGGTAGTGGCGAGGCTTGATTTCACTTTAATAGAGTTCGCTTGTCACCTGCGTCTGTGTTGTGTTTGGTTCCGTTCTGTTTTGCTCTTTATCATATTTTTGCTTTTTGCTTTTTTCCACAGATCTTGGTGCCAGAGACTCGGTAACCATGGGTATCGAGGAACAGTTCGTCCTCCTCTCGCTGGGGCTCATCACCATCGGAGTGAGAATGGGCGTGAGAATCCGACAGATTGGATTCGGAGGATGGCAGTTGGATGATTATCTGATGCCCATCACAGGTGTAAGTGACGCAGGCACCTGCAGATGCACGGGGCCCTTTGCTGACATTGCTTCTTTGTAGCTTATCTTCACTGCAGAGACAGTCGCGGCGTATCTTGTCGGTGCCAAGTTCCAGGGCTTGACGAATAGTTACATGACGGATCAAGAGCGCGCCGACATCGATATGAATGGGCAAGAACATTATAATCGGGTTTGGGGATCCAAGATTCAGGTTATAGGCTGGTCCTTTTATGCTTGTATCCTCTGGTGTCTCAAGTTTTGCGTCACTGCGTTCTATGGGCGACTCACGTATGTTTTTTCTGTGGTGGTGAGAATGAATGTTGGCTGACCTTTGCAGTTCTGGATTGACGCATCTCAAGACTCGAGTGACGATCGCATACATCATTCTTGGTATTTCATACGCTGCTGTTGCGCTTACAATTTTATTGTCTTGTCAACCTTTTCATCACTTTTGGCAAGTCTCGCCAGACCCTGGACTACTCTGTCAACCGACCAAGTCGCCAGCTTATGTGCTGGTTGTTGTTATTCCCAACATTTTGACGGATATCTATCTTCTTTCCATTCCGCTACCTGTAAGTCATATCCTCTGTTTTATGATGATCCGATCTGACCTTTGCAGCTTCTCTGGGGCGTCAACATTAGTTTGCGACGCAGACTCACGCTCATGCTGCTCTTCAGTGGTGCTCTCTTCATCATGATGGCGGGTACAATTCGCGCCGTGACAATTCTCACAGTAAGCTCAAACATCACTAACAGATCCTTTACTAACAAATACCAGGCTGGTCCAAATGGCGCAGTCGCAGGTAGTCAATGGGCATGTCGCGAAACCTTTGTCGCAATAATCGTCACAAACCTGCCCATAATCCAACCCCTCATCCGCAAAGGCGCCAGCATGATCGGCCTCAGCGTCCTCTTCAGCCGCGGCACAAAATCCGCATCGCAGAGCCACCAGCTCCGCAGTAGCGAAATGGGCGGGAGCCGGTTCAACACTAGTCGCCGCCGCGGACCTGGTAGCTCACACCCGCTAGCGACGGTTCCCCAGACCACGGCCTGGGCCAGCGACGAGCACATCCTCCCTGAAGCTGGGAAGCCTGCTGGGGCTGGGGGCGGTATCGTGGTTGCGCAGGAGATCAGCGTGCAGTCTGAGGTCAATACTACTTCGGAGGATGATCGTGGGAGGAGGGGGCCTGAGGGAAATGACTGGGGGTACAAGACGAGTGTGTCAAGGAGTCCATGAGGGTATGGCTTGGCTTGGCTTGGGCACCAATGCAATGCAATGCGGTGTTTGGGAACAGGGAAAAGGGAGGGATCTAGCGCTGGAATTAGAGATGGGAGTAACTTTGGCCCGCAAGGACTTGTACTTTTCTATACCTATACCTATACTATAACAAACAATTAATGCTAACGTCAGATACAGGGAAACCGGCCACCCCCCGAAACCGGCCACCTGACACTAACAGATAATAAAAGTAAAGTATTTTATAACTTCCTTTATATAGCTTAAAATAGAAAATATAAATATTTTTTATATATTAGTAATATAAGGCTATATATATATAATTTTACTTTCTATATATAGTATATAGTTATTATATAATAT